CTTGAACAACAAAACAAAATAAATAATAATAAATTTTTAATATAAATTTATAGTAAAAATATATATTTAATTTAATTTTATCTTATATCTTTAAAATATAAATTACACAAATACATAAATAAATAAACAGTCCAATCTTAAAAAAATAATAAACAGAAATACCTAATTCCCAGAACCACTGACCTAGGTGGTAAACGCTTGAACAACAAAACAAAATAAATAATAATAAATAAATTAACGGTGCAGTCTTAAAGCAATGTAAGCACTGATACCCAATTCTGGAGACACGCTTACCCACATGGTGCAAACAGGAACAACAAAATAAATAATAATAATAATAATAATAAATAAATAAATAAACAAACGATCCAATCTTAAAGGGATAATAGTAAGCACAAATATCTAATTCCTATTTCTTATGTAACAAAAAAAAACAAATATCTAATTGCTGGAACCCACTGACGCACGTGGCAAAGCACGACAAACCAAAACAAATAATAATAAAGAAATGAACAGTATAGTCTTAAAGAGACAAGCATAAATTCTTGAGATCCACTTACCCACATGGTAAACATTAGTATAACAAAAATAAATAAATAAATAATTTTTTAATTTGTATTTTAAAAAATAAATTAAGAATATATTAAATAAATAAATTTAATTAAATAATTAATAAATTAAAAAGTATTTTTTAATTTTTAACATAAATTTATAATAAAAATATATTTAACATATTTTTAAAAATATAAATAAAAAAATGAACAAGTAAATAAATAAACCAACTAATCTTGAAGACAGAAGTACAAATATCTAATTACGGGATCCACTAATGCACATGGTTAACACTAAATCAATAAAAAAAATGGTGTAGAAATAATTTTTTATAATATTTTTATATAATTTTTATATATTATTAAATAAATGTACTTAATATTATAACTTTTAAATAAAAATTAATTATTTAAATGAAATAAAAATTATATAAAAACAACAAAAATTATTTTAAATTTATTTTCAACAATAAAATAAATAAATAATCAACAAAATAAATAAATAAATAAACGATTCAATCTTAAAGAGCTAAATATAAATATCTTATTCACTTTTGTGTGTATTAGTTAAGTAATACATATGAAATTTTATATAATTTTAAATTAATTAATTTGAGAGTTATAATGTATTTTATTTGTATATCATTTTATTATTATTTTTTAAAAAAACTCCCTTAAGTGAGGGCTTCCTTCATCTGTAAGGTGTTTGTACCACATCGTTACTATATCTGAATTAAGTAGTATTTATAAAATTTCATATAACTTCGAATTAATTAATTTTAGAATTTTATTATGTTCTATTTTCATACCATTTTACTTATTATATTTCTATACCATTTTATTACTGTTCTAAAAAATATCAAATTTTATTAAAGAAAAATTTTAAAATCAAATTTTTAAATAAATTTTAGGTAAATTTTTAAAAAATTTATATTTATCTTTTTTAAAAACTTACTTAAAATTTACATTAAAGAGACTAGTGAGTATTAATCTAT